TAGGCAAGTTTCAGGTGTGTAAAGTGTAAGAAGGAAAACATTAGTAATTTATTTATTTGTCGTTGTAGTAGTTAGTGGAGGAGTCTTTGCAGATAAGTAAGGAAAGTGGAGACTAAATAGTTGAGTTTTTAGTCGTTTCATTTTCGTTTGCAGTTAGGGAGTTCATTCCACCAACTGGGCAGATTGAGCGTGAGCGTTCGCGAAAGTGATTTCTTCCCTCTTTGGGATGGAACCACGAGGCGACGTTCATTCACAGAACGCAAGTTTCTGGAGGACACATAGATCTGCAGAAGTGAGAGCAGATAAGAAGGAACAAAGCCTGAAGTCACTTTGTAGGCAAACATCAGAGCTTTGAATTTGATGCGAGCAGCAACTGGCAGCCAGTGCAAACGGATGAGCAGTGGAGTGACATGTGCTCTTTTAGGTTCATTAAAGACCACTCGTGCTGCTGCGTTCTGGAGCAGCTGAAGAGGTTTGATAGAGTTAGCAGGGAGCCCGGCAAGTAGAGAGTTGCAATAGTCCAGTCTGGAGAGAACAAGAGCTTGAACAAGGAGTTGAGCTGCATGTTCAGATAGGAAGGGTCGGACCTTTCTGATGTTATAGAGTGCGAATCTGCAAGATCGAGCAGTTCTAGAGATGTGGTCAGAGAAGTTTAGTTGTTCATCAATCGTTGCTCCAAGTCTTTTTACCATTTTGGATGCAGTAATGGTTGCCCCATCCATCTGGATTGAAGAGTTATGATGTAGAGTCGGGTTGGCAGAAACTTCAAGCATTTCTGTTTTCGTGAGGTTAAGCTGAAGACGATGATCTTTCATCCAGAGTGAAATGTCTGACAGGCAGGCTGAGATGCGAGCCGGAACCGAGGGATCATCAGGGTGAAAAGAGAGGTATAGCTGGGTATCATCAGCATAGCAGTGGTAGGAGAATCCATATTTCTAGACGATTGATCCTAGAGATGTTGTGTAGTTATAAAAATGTATAAAAAATAAATGTTTGTAGTTTTTTAATATATATTTATATTCCTAAATATGTTAGGTAACCACAATCTTATTTTAATAAATATAACTGATTAATAAAGCTGTTTTGTTTAAATGCAGCATAATATACTGTCTCTATTTAATGAGAAATGAATCAAATATTCATTTTATTTCAAAGGAGACCCCAGCTGCCAGAAATAAACCGTAAAATTATGGATTTTTTTTATAGTGTACTATTAATACTGAACTATACCCATAACTAGGCCCACACGGAATCTGCGCGCGCAGAATTCCGCAGATTTCTGCAGGTCTTTTGCCCATTATTAATTCTGTTTATTTACTTGAGTAAATGTGTAAATCTGAATTTATTCAGTTTTTATTCAGTAATTTATTACTTTTTATTTAATATATTAAGGTTTTAGTTATGATACTCCGCTGGATACTCCCAAAATAATTCCGCAGAAATCCACAGATTTTTACCAAAATTCTCCGCAGAAATAGCAAAACACGTCCGCAGATTCCGTCTGGCCATGCCCATAACCTAAGACAGACTACACAAGTAGTTTTACATAAGACAGAACAATAATGTGTGAGATTTTGCACAACAGAGCTATTTAAGTTTGAAGAAAACAAGTTTGTTGTACATTCACAAGTAAACATTGCTGTCCTTATTGTGTAAGATGGAGTTTAAGTGTAGCGTCTGGTGCATATAGACAGAAGAGTCTTTCTACAGGTGGTTTATCAAGCCCACTCACCTGTGTGAGTCACACTTCACAAATGCACATGCATTCATTCATTTTCCTTCGGCTCAGTCACATTCATCAGGGGTTGTCACAGCGGAATAAACCGACAACTACTCCAGCATAGTTTTTTACACAGTGGATGCCCTTCCAGCTGCAACCCAGTACTGGGAAACATCCATACACGCTTATTCACACACCTTTAGCGCATGTGTTTGGACTGTGGGGGAAACCGGAGCACCCGGAGGAAACCCATGCCAACACAGGGAGAACATGCAAACTTCACACAGAAATGCCAACTGGCCCAGCTGGGACTCAAACCAGCGACCTTCTTGCTGTGAGGCAACAGTGCTAACCACTGAGCCACCATGTTGCCAAAAACGCACAAAGTTTTGTTTAGTTTTATCCTAGAGATATAGAGTGATTGGAAGAAAGTGTGTGGACACAAACCTTACACACATTGAATATAAATGGGGTCATAACAATATCTCTGTAAAGAAAACATTATATGCCGTGTGTACATACGGCTTCTTATCTCATTTATTTTTCAAGAAGGCAATACCCAACCCAAATAACCCGAACGGGAAGTCTAGGCAGAACTAGAAACTTCCCTGCATCTGAAGGACATTGGGTCAACAGAAGTTAGTCAGAGAGGTGTTTATCAGCGTGTGTGTTTGCCGAGTGTGTGGGCAGTTCAGACATACTGGGACTCTCTGATAGACCGTCGTTGCAGGCGATAAGATTGGGGCCACCGCGGAAGAATCAGTCAGTTATATGCAGGATATTATCACTTGTGTTTTATTGTTTGACATCTTTTATCTGGGCTTCTGCATGCGTCCTGTTTCAGTGTTTCTGAAGGACAAACACATCAGATGGTCAAGTAATAATGTTAATTTTAGATTAAGGCTATTTCTTGTTTAATAGGCCGTTATCAGTGTAAAAGATATAATAACAAAGGTGAACACTAGTTTAATGCTGCTGCAATTGGGATTTTAATTGCATTTAATATGACGCAGTAGATGTATTAGTGTGAACATGCATGACGCATCCTTAAATTATGTGTATCTAGACCATTTCAATGTGGTCATGTTATTGGCCCATGAACATTTCCTGCCTGTTACCAAACTAATTTATTATTGTAATGAATGGCCATTCATTCATTCATTCATTCATTCATTCATTCATTTTCTTGTCGGTTTAGTCCCCTTATTAATCCGGGGTCGCCACAGTGGAATGAACCGCCAACTTATCCAGCAAGTTTTTACGCAGCGGATGCCCTTCCAGCTGCAACCCATCTCTGGGAAACATCCACACACACACACACACACACACTACGGACAATTTAGCCTACCCAATTCACCTGTACCGCATGTCTTTGGACTGTGGGGGAAACCGGAGCACCCGAAGGAAACCCACACGATGGCAGGGAGAACATGCAAACTCCACACAGAAACGCAAACAGAGCTGAGGTTCAAACCAGCGACCCAGCGACCTTCTTGCTGTGAGGCGACAGCACTACCTACTGCGCCACTGCCTCGCCGAATGGCCAATCAATCATATCTTAATGTTAAAACAGCTATCATGACATAATTAATCAATGTGTGGCTCTTTTTGAATTCTCGGAAGCTGTAGAAATTAAAAATGTAAAACAGGGAATACGTTGGGACCATTGTTTTTGTTTACATCTCTCAAAATGGTCTAGACAGTTACATAAGAAAGGCTTTCGCACTTAATAACAGAGTTTCCACGAGAGTCTGTTTGTAAATCGCTTTGAATTGCTTTGTTATTTGGTTTACAAAACGTATATTCATTCATTCATTTATTCATTTTATTCCGGCTTAGTCCCTTTATTAATCTGGGCTGGGGTCGCCACAGCGGAATGAACCGCCAACTTATATGTTTTACGCAGCGGATGCCCTTCCAGCCGCAACTCAGTACTGGGAAACACCCATACACTTTCACATTCACACACATACACTACGGCCAATTTATTTTATTCAATTACCCTATAATGTGTCTGTGGGGGAAACTGGAGCAGCCAGAGGAAATCCACGCGAACACGAGGAGAACATGCAAACTCCACACAGAAATGCCAACTGGCCCAGCCAGGGCTCAAACCAGTGACCTTCTTGCTGTGAGGTGACAGTGCTAACCACTGCACCACCGCAACGCCCATAATAATAATAATAATAATAATAATAATATCCAAATGCAATTGCAAATATACAATTAATTCATATTTAAAATAAAAATTATTATAATTTATTCACAATTTATTGACATAATATTATTGTACATACAAATATTTAATAATATTCTGCTTATTATTTAAAAATAAAATTGATACAAACAAGCAAATTACAAATTCCCTTTAATTTTACCAAATAAACTAATTATGACTCTTGATAATAATAATAATAATAATAATAATAATAATAATAATAATAATAATAAACTGTTTCAAAATGTAAACATTTAATTAATTAATTACTAATTAACACATCAAAAAATTTATATCTAAATTGAACTAATGAAAATATATTACAGATTGGGTGAGGCAGTGGCGTTTGATACAAACTTGTGCAGATTAGAAATATTGATACAAATTCCCCATTTTAATTTAACTATCACTATAAATAATGTAATTATTACACAAAGCATTACACTACAATAATAATAATAATAATAATAATAATAATAATAATAATAATAATAATAATTATTCAATTTAGGAAAAGGAAACAAGTTATATACTTTAGACTAGTTTTAGATCATTTTATTAAATTAAAAAGATCCTACTTTGTCCTGTTCTGCCCTCTACTGTGGAAAAAAAAGCTTCATCATTGCACAAATGGATTCAAATATAAAAAACTGATATATAAAATCAATGAATACGTATATATTTATTAGTAATATGTTTCCCTGCAAAACTTTATATATTAGAAGGGATACGTTCCTTTTTATTCTTCCTTCTCGTTCCTTTTCTTTGAGTTTGTTTACAGTCCATTATAGAATCGAATTGAATCCAGAATTGAAGCCACAGTTTTATATTCGTCTCTGTAATGAATGAGTAGTTTTAGAGCCCCAGTCACTGAGCTAATCATTTCCCTTGCGTCAAAATTCCAATCTCACCAGGCAAGTTTTTCATTAAAAGACCAACACCACAATTGTGTCCGATTGGTCAGAACCGCAGGCAGAGTCTACAAAACGCACCCTGTGATTGGTCGACAGTCAACGTCGGCAACAGAATCTGCGTTTTGATTGGTCGCCTCCTTAGTCATCTGGGTACAATGTAGCTAGGTTGGTTCTTTCTACTCGCTCTACGTAGGTATTAGTTTAATACATAGATAAGTTAGTGAGATATTAATTTATTAATATTTGTACAGTTAATACAGTTTAATTAGTGTAAACAAAGCATGCGAAGGGTGACGCTTTTTGTCAACGGAACCTCCAAAAATGGCAAGGTGAGTTGAACGTTTAGCATGTGTCCAACTCCAGTGATGTCCTGTTAATCCCATGACTGTTAATCCCATATGAAAACATCTCCCAGTTTGTTAAGAAATAGATACAGAAAGCTTCTATATCGCTTTCAGACATACACGTTGTCAGTTTAATATTGTCGATATGGGTTAGGCCAAAGAATAGCTCGCTTTACTGGTATTTTAACATTGTTTACTGTACCTCGGGTTTGCATTATTTGTCTTGTTGACACTACCAACAACATCTGAGGTAAAGTTGGTTTTACGTATATTCACACATTCAGAAAAGTATTATTTACAAAATATAAATAGTGAAATTATATTAGCAGCCATCGACTATCAAAGTAAATCATTGTTTATAGTCAAATAAATAATAGTGCTAATGCTGTTTTTAAGTAATATTTACATGTGATATCAGACCGAATATTCAAAGTACAGTGGTAAACAATATAGGGAGCATGTCACAAGTTGTTACTGAACCAATGTGCTAATATAAATCCAACTTTACCTCAAACCGACACCAACTAATAAGTATATATTATTAACAGCATTTTTGTTATATACGAGCTATTCCAGCATTATGGATGTGACTTTTGCAGTAAAAACATTACTTCACAGAGAAAGTATATTAACGTTATATTGAAATATCTCCTTATATTTTTCAAAACAACTAACCACAGAATTATGGGATCAGACAAATATCAGTCTGGAAACATTTTCATAGAGGGAAAGTGTATAAATATAAAAATATTTATACTTATCCTTTAAATCACTGTGGGTGGCCGAGCTTATGAATGGCCAAAAACCAAATCACAGAATTATTACTCTATTACAAATATTTGCAAATCTATTTCTAATTTATTTCATATTTAAAATGACTACAAAACAATGCCTTATATTAACTAATGCAGTGTATGTTTTGTAATTGTACAATGGATTTATTACTGGAAAAGAAAAACAATCCCATTTATAACAGAATGCTGTCTCTTGATTTGCCAATGTCTTCTGCATTGTATTTATATTTTCTAAAAATCTGATTCCGTTACAACATTTAGTTTGTTTGCGTTTTGTAGCTCAGCGATTTAAAAACAAATAAACAAAAAAGGGTTTATTCAAATTAGAAATGACAATCTTTGTAGAAGGCTCTCGTCCAAACCCTCTCCCTCATTCTTATTCTCTTCTTATGGTGGGCCAAATAACAGGTTACCATGGGCCAACTATGGTCCACAGTTCCTAGTTTGGGCATCTCTCCACTAAACATTTAATTGTTTAAAAATAAAAAATTAATCACTTATTTTATTGTATTACAGGTGGAATAAGTAGGTTGTTTAAATATATACAGTCAAGCCCTAAATTATTCATACCCCTGGCAAATTCTGACCTAAAGTTTGTGTTTAAATGTAAATTAAAGCTGAGAAATATTTTTTGTACATTATCTTATTATGTTTTTGGAGAAGCCTGTGTCATTTCCGGACAAAAAAACTCCAGCTGGCTGAAGAATTTGCCAGGGGCATAAATAATTTGAGGCTTGACTTTACCTGAAACTGTGCAATGCTGAAAGATAGTGACAACATAACTTTACTTCACCCTTATTTTATCATTTTATTATTACTTAAGTTATTTAAAACCTTTTAAATTGCCTTCTATAGGCCATCTACTGTATATATAAAATCAGTTTTATAAATATTTATAATATAATATGGCGCAGACACTAAAATGGTCTCGTCGTTGACCCTGTAATAAAATTTGTAGTGCAATCATTACAGCATTAATGGATTGATCGTGTTGTTGTTTCTGTTGCAGGTTGTAGCTGTTTATGGGACTCTGTCTGATCTTTTGACACTCGCAAGCAATAAATTGGGATTAAGGGCTTGTAACTTGTATAATGGGAAAGGTGGTCTTATAGACGACATTGCCCTCATCAGGTACAGTTTCATAGGCATTTTTCAACAATTATTTGTTCATTTATGGAAAACAATAGAGGGAATATTACTGAGAAAACATTTCTCTCCTGCCTTGAGTTGAATAAACAAATGTGTACGTGCTGGATGTACTACAGGGGTGTCCAAACTCAGCCCTGGAGGGCCGGTGTCTTGCAAAGTTTAGTTTCAACCCCAATCAGACACACCTGGGGTAGCTAATCAAGCTCTTACTAGGCTTCCTAGAAACATCCGTGCAGGTTTGTTGAGGCAAGTTGGAGCTAAAATCTGCAGGACACCGGCCCTTGGTACTAAAAGGCAGGAGCGCAACTACACATTTACTGAGGGGTATGCGGGTTTAAGTTTTGCGCCCTCAACCACCCTGACTTTTGTTCATGTGTAAGTTTTAATAGGTTTAAGAATCATTAATATCAAGTATATTAAATTTATATAGGGAATTTTAATCCAAATACTAAATCTGAAATACCTGCTCATGTGAAAAAGGTCTGTACTTACATAAACATACATTTTGTGTGATCCCTCTTATTTTGGCAAAATAATTAATTAATTATAAATAATAATAAATAAAGAAAAAATTCAGATCAAATTTATGATTTTTGACATCAACTGTGTATGTAGGATTTGACAGTTTATTTTAATCAGTTACATCTACATGAATACTTTACACTTGGCTGTGTGACTGCATGTTATTGTGTTAAATGATTTTGAATTAAACGTGTGTGCCAGCGTATGCAATTAATAGTATAACTTTTTATTTAATAAAATACATTATTATACTTGTATAAGATGCAAAATAAGCAATTTTAACAAAACATATTTATTTATTTTTATTATTTAAATCTTTTAATAAGGATAATTTCAAAAATAGTTTTGGCACAATGGCGCCCCATGTGTAGCGCCACTATGCGCCGCATATACTGATGGGTATGCGGCTTCAACTTTTGCGTGCCCCCCTTCAATCCAACTTTATTTTAAAACAGGCAAGTGATAAAATGTGGAAAATATTTCCATCAATAAATTAAAGATATTGTTTCATAAAGATATCAATATGCTTCATACTATTTCAGTTGTGTAAAGAACTGCGAAACGGTATTTTTTGAAGTAGTAAAAGGTATAATTACATTAAGCATGTTAAGTCGCAAAGAAATGTATCTCATACCAGCCCAAATTTCTTCTTAATTTAATTTTCCCTCACTAAATGATTATAGCACCTTGACTAGCCTTGCTTTTGGACTTTTTGTACTACATTTTTCAAAACAAAATGATAGACATGAGAGTCCTAAAGGACAAAAGAACATTGCAATTACTTCTCACATGCATACTGTGAGAGGTGTAAGGTCTGTCTTTGCAAGAACAATTGACTGAAACTGCTAAAAGTGAAATAAAAAAGACTGTCAAATGTTTAGTGTAAAAAAAAACAGAAACAAACTGTGTGAAATGTTCTATTTAATTGAAATGTTATAACTTTGTTTGTAGCTAAAATTAAAATAGTTTTGAGCTAAGAAGTTACCAAAAGGCCTGATGAATCAATGTGATACATAATAAATTCATAAAAATACGTATATGGTATGAAAAATGGGGGGGAGGGGTGGAATGATTTTTTAATTTAATAAAATACAATATTATACGCGTATAAAATGCTAAATAAACATTTTTAACAAAATATATATATATTATTTGAAACTTTTAATATGGATAATTTCAAAAATAGTTTTGGCACAATGGCGCACCCCATGTGTGGCGCCCCTATGCGCCACATATACTGCATACCCCCTTTTTGCGCCACTGGCCACTGCTAAAAGGTAGCTGCAGATAAACTTGTTATGATACATCATTTGTGTCATGTGATATATTTGACTGAAGTTTTTAGAATTAGTAATATTATTGTCATTTTAAGAAAATTTTATTCTGCTGATTATATAATCTTTATACGACAGGCAGCATAATAACTCAAGCAGGCGTAAACACTTTCAAGGGACAAAAACCGTTCATTCGTCTCTTTATATATATATATATATATATATATATATATATAATAAATATATATATTATATATATATTTTTTTTTTTTTCCCCCCACAGAGATGATGATGTGCTGTATGTGTCAGAAGGAGACGCTTTCATTGGTGAGTGAACATCAGTTTGTTTTCATTGTAGTTCAGCTGCTGGATTTATATTTTAAGCTTTATTAATAACACTTATGCCATAGATTGGATTTGCCAAGGAACACAAAAGGAACATTAAATTCACCTTTCATGAACTTACATAAATGCATTTTAATAATTATTATTCAGTGAAGTTTGAGATGCCAGGTCAGTGTTTATTAGTTGTTTGTGCTGTAGATCCTCATAGTGAGGGCAAAATGTCAGATGACATCTCAGGATCGCACACTGATTGGCTGACGCTGAATATTGGTGGGCGGCTTTTCACAACCACTAGGTAAACATGCTGCATACTTTGCTTTCCTACTGGCTTCAAATACACTGGTATCCATTAACTAGTGTTTATGTGTATATTTTGTTTTCTCTTGTTTCAGGAGTACTCTTGTGAGTAAGGAGCCCGACAGCATGCTGGCACACATGTTTAGAGAGAAGGGTTAGTTCAAAAGCAAACTTTCAGACCCTCATTAAAGATGTCCAAGACGAGCTATTTATATTAATGTGGATTAAAAGTGAAAATTGTAAATTATAGGTCATTAAAAATCTCTGTTTGCATGGTAGTTTCTTAATCAGAGTATTGTCTTAAAATTTTGAGCATTGGTGTCCATTTTAAAAGCAATTATTTTGATTTAATAATGACTTTAAGCTGAGTTTATTTTGCTTGTTTATCAGACTGTAAATCACAGTGATGTTATATCAGAGTTCTTTGGTCTGTTTTGTGCACCTGCAGATGTTTGGGGCAATAAACAGGATGAACGTGGGGCTTTCCTCATTGACCGGAGCCCAGAGTACTTTGAGCCCATCCTCAATTACCTGAGACATGGTCAGATCATCATCAATGATGGAATAAACTTACTCGGTGAGTCAGCCGGAATGCTACCTGAAGCGTTTTTAGGTGACTGTTTTCATTTAATTCACTAAATATAGATTGGAGCCAGACAGAATCTTTTTTTTGCTATTATTTGCAGAATTTTGGGGTAATAAAGGCATAAGAACTAAATATTAAAGCAATTTTTTTTTGATGACATGTTTGGTAAATAAAGTAAGTCTCTCATATACAGTGTATAAGTATTGAACACGTCATCATTTTTCTCAGGATGTTGGTAACAACCAAAGAAATCCATGTTTGCAAAATAAAACTAATCTAATTAGTTTACAAATTAAGTTCTGTGTAATAAAATGAAATGATGCAGAATAAATGCAGTGAACACATGAAGAAAGGGAGGTGTAGAAAGGCAGTGAAAGCCCAGACAGCAGCTGAAATCTCTCGGTAGTTCTTTAGCATTCCTCTGCCCTTAGTGTAAATGAATATCAGCTGCTTCAGTTCAACATCTACATTAGCAGGAGGATCAAGATGAAACTATGGTGGACATTTCAGCAAGATCCAAAACACAGCCAAGGAAACTCTGAAATGCTTTCAAAGAAAGACAATCAAGCTGTAGAATGGCCCAGCCAATTACCTGACTTGAATTCTATAGAGAATACAAAATAAAGCTTAGATTTTACAGACGAGACCCACAGAACCATCACGATTTCGTTGGAGTAGCCAACAGAAACCGAACAAACTCCTTCCGTGAGAGTGGAGAGTGGTCTTCAAGTGGATGAGAATTTATTAGCAAATTAGAAGGGACAAAAATACACAATTAATGCACAAGTATATGCATACAATGTTGTGTCATTGCATTGCTTTTACACAACTAATTTGTTAGATTGTTTTGTTTTGTTCTTATGTTTGTATTGTTTGGATATATATATATGTACAAGGCTTAATTTGTGCCGGAACACTTCGAATCCAGATCCGGCACTTCTGAAATCTGATCCAGCGCTTCGATTTACCAATCCTCCTCCTCAACTGCCCTCCTCCCCCGTCCGCTGTTATCTTTCACTTTCTTCCACGACTCCCCAACCCTCTTCACTTTCATTTGCAACACCCACCCTACCCAAACCCCCTCAACCACCTCACTCTTCACTTTTTTCACAATAGCCCTTTGCCATACAACCCCAAACACCCCCCCACACCACCCGCTCTACACTTTCATGAGTGACACCTCTCCATCCTTGGGTAGCATGTCGAATCCGTTAGCCCAATCTGTTCCAGGACTTCGCAATTCATAAATTAAGCACTGCATATATATATATATATATATATATATATATATATATATATATATATATCTACTAATAGACAGAAAATTACACTTTACAAACTGTTAAATCACCTAAACATCTGCATATTATTCAATAATAGTACTGAAATTAATAGAAAAAACTGAACAAATATATATATTTACACACATGTATATATTTATTACACATTAAGTAAATAAACGGATCCCACCTGGGCCTAATATAAGCAGTTAGCCTGGTATGTAGATTATTGCAATATTTTTAACCTGAGTCAATCACTAATTCAAAGCCATGTTTATAAAAAGTAAGGCCAAATGTGATAACGACTCCACTGTTCAATAACTAATTATTTTTTAATTGCATACAACACTGTACACTACTAGCTATTTTTTCTTTATTAAGTTTTACTGAACATGGATCCATTTAACATACAAGCTTTGGTAACACTTTAGTTTAAGCAGCATATTCTCACTATTAACTAGTAGTTTATTACCTGCGCTTTATTGAGATATTAGCTGTTTAAAACTACTTTATAAAATGCATATTCTGCATGATCTTAGTCTACATCCCTAATCCTACCTACTGCAAACCTAACTACCTCCTCAATATCTAATAATATGCGGCAAATTGGGAGTTATTGAGGCAAAAGTCATAGTTAATAATGATGTAATAATTTAGAGAATTGTACCTTTATAAAGTATCACCCAATTTTTTAAGAGAGGCATAAGATGAGATGAAAACGACAATCTTCAAATGTGATCATTTTATTAATGCTTTATAGGTGTACTGGAAGAAGCTAGATTTTTTGGAATAGAGCAACTGGCAGAACAGCTGGAAGTCGCCATCAAGGTATTTAAGCACACTGCACTTTACACCCCATGCGCATCATGCGTGGCTTTCCCAGTACTAGGAAACGCCTATACACTCTCACGTTCACACACACACACACTCAACATACAATATGGCCAATTTTGTTTACCCAATTCACTTACATTACATGTCTTTAGGGGACATCGGAGCACCCGTAGAAAACCAATGCGAACACGGGGAGAACATGCATACTCCACACAGAAATACCATCTGACCTAGCCAGGACACGAACCAGGAAGCTTCTTGCTTTGAGGCAACAGTGCTAACTAGGGGTGTAATAATACACTTAGCTCACGATACGATGTGTATCACGATATAATGTTCACGATTCGATATGTATCACGATATTTGGAATAAAAATTTAAAATTAAACTGAAATGCAAATTTTACCAAGTAAACTATTTTTTATGTATTACTTTTGTTTCAACTTGTTAAACTGAACCTTCTTTAAGAAAATAAATTAAACAGGCCTGTCTCTGGAAAATAAAACAATTTAAAAACTTCTTAAAAATATTATTGAAATGACAGAGACAAAATTAAGGAACAATTTAAGTAAAGGTGCAAAAAAAAATAAACTTTCTATTCAATTGAATTTAACAGTAAGAGCTTAAGGCTTTGCTTGGTCACTTGTGTTTTTTGTGTGTGCAAAAAAAATCCACATTTCCAGGTATTTAATTCATATTTAATTAAATTAATTTAGAGATATCTCTAATTACAATTTTGACTAATCAAAACTCATTTAGAGATATCTGCAAATATTTTTCAATGGAAGTCAATGGAGGAATATGACTAGTCATAATATATTTGCAGATATCTCCAATCTGATTTCGTACTAGTACAATTGTAATTGCAGATATCTCTAATTGTCATTCTGACTAGTCGAATTATAATTATGACTAGTCAAAATATAATTAGAGATATCTCTAAATATATTTATGGATAGTCAGAACAAAGGTTTAAATGCTAAAACGGCTTGCCATACGTGCGCGTCTATCAAAGTCCGCCCTCTGTAGTAACAGCTCACAGTCAGCAGCTCACAGTCAGCTCACGTCATGTGTGATTTTGCGGCGGGAACATTATATGAAGACAGAATGATATTTTAGGGTGAATTGTACCTTATAAATACAGTATGTGACTCTTTCAACACCATTAGGAGGTATCCCTGTCGCTGTGCAAAGTATGTAATTCACTGTGAAGACTTTAAAACTTAGGATGTTTGACCCAGTATGCGTGTCAAAAAGCGGACGAGTCTAAAGCAATGACTGGTCAACCGAAATGTTGCCAGACGTCTGATTTTGAGAGGATGGGCCATCCTCTATTTCAGCTCCACTCATCTTGGTCTGCTAACATTACTGCTGCTGCAATCTGAACTCACGTGCGACAGCAGGTGGAACGTAGCTCACTTGCAAACAGCTCAACTAATAAGAGAAAACAGACGTCATATCGTAATCAAATCTTCATAACGCCACGATGCATATTGTGATATTTTTGCATCGCAATAAATCGTACAACGATAAATCGTTATATCCCTAGTGCTAACCACTGAGCCATTGTGTCACTAAACTTTTTGTTTATATATTTGAAAACATTTTATTTTAAACTTGATTAACTGATTCAAATTAATGCAACATAAAACATTTGTTGTCATGGCTTTGTATGGTAAATCCTTTTGAAAATAAAAACTTTTTTTTTTGCTAAATCCGAAAAATTATCAATATTGTATGCATATAATTGTGCATTAATTGTGTATTTTTGACTCTTCTGATTTGCTAAAGAATTCCCATCCACCTGAAGACCACTCTCCGCTCTCACGGAAGGAGTTTGTTCGGTTTCTGTTGGCTACTCCAACCAAATCAGAGCTACGCTGTCAGGTAGAAGACATCATATGAATGTATAAAAAGTCATATTTAATGTCATGTTCTTTTGGTGTTAAAGGGGTCCTATTAAGCCCTTTTTACAAGGTGTAAAATAAGTGTCATAAGAGTCTGCATGTGACATTTCAGATCAAAATACCCCACAAATAATGTTTTAAAACTCTTTGAACATGACCCTTTTCGGCTTTTATTCTAACCATGCCTATTTGGTGACTGTCACTTTAAATTTAAATGAGACTGTGCTCTTTTTAAAAGAGGGCGGAGCTACAAATGCCTGTGTGTCAACATAGTGGCAGATTCAAAAACAAGACTAATCTCCTATGCTAATGAGGGAGAGATGGTCCCTAATGGGCGGGGCTTTCTCTTACTGATGACACGTTCAAAGAGAGAAGTGTTTCTGCAGACTGTTTTTATCAAGCGTGATCATAAAAAACAGAATTAATTCATTTTTACCATTAGAAGCTGGTTGTATTCACACACTGCTGCCACACAACTGTGTTTAAACGTCTTATGAAAACGATTTATGCATAATAGGTCCCCTTTTTCTGCTCTTTCCCTCTCAGGGTCTTAATTTCAGTGGAGCGGATCTCTCTCGGCTGGATTTGCGCTATATTAATTTTAAGATGGCTAATCTGAGTCGCTGCAATCTCACCTATGCAAACCTGTGCTGCTCAAACCTAGAGAGAGCCGACCTGTCGGGAGCCAACCTGGATGTGAGCCCTTTATCTCTTGCTCTGGGACAAATCTCCTTCTTTTTCATCTCTCAGTTTGTTAAATGATCCTGTTCTCCAGGGTGCTAATCTTCAGGGCGTGAAGATGCTCTGCTCCAATGCGGAGGGAGCGTCTCTTAAAGGATGTAACTTTGAGGATCCCTCTGGACTTAAAGCCAATTTAGAGGGTAAAACTCCTGCATATTTAAATCCAGTGTTTATTTTATCTAGTAGAATTAAGCTGATGGACCCTTTTCACATGACATATTATGACACATTTAACGTCGTCAGCACCTTGAAGGTTTGGAATGTTTAGATTTTAGATTTTTTTTAAACGTGTGAACATTTATATGTGTTTATGAATATTTATTTACCTATATTTACATACACTGTATAAAAAGGCACATTTAAAAAACATATTTTAAAAAAAAAGGTTTTTTTTTTTTTTTACTAAACTGTTTCTCTTTTAGGTAAGTTAGAATTATTGAATTTGTTTCTGTTCTGCTTAATAGCAGAATAATGAGAGAGAGATTTTTTTGAGAAATTGTTTTAACTTTTATTGAAATTCAAGTTCACATACAGTAAGATTATTCTGCCTCTGAAAAACCTCACATGATGCTGTCAAGGTTTTGGAAGTTTCTGATTGGCTAATTGACAACATTTGAGTTAATTGGAGTCACAACTGTAGAATAGTATTTAAGGAAAACCTCAAACACACTGCTTCCTTGTGTGACAACATGGGAAAATCAACAAGCCAGAATCAACAACAAAAAAAAAAGCCAGATTACAATTTGCTAAATTACACTGGGAAAAGAATATTTTATAGAGGCATGTCCTGTGGTCTGATGGAACTAAGATTGAACTGTTTGGCCATAATGACCAGTGTTACATTTGGAGGACAAAGGGGAAGCTTACAAGCCTAGGAACACCATCCCAACTGTGAAGTATGGGGGCGGCAGCATCATGTTGTGGGGCTGTTTTGCTGTAGGAAGGACTGGTCCACTTCACAGCATAGATGGCATCATGAAGAAAGAACATTATGGAGAAATACTGAATCAACATCTCAAGACATCAGTCAGAAAATTAAAACTTGGCCACAAATGGATCTTCCAAACAGACCATGACCCTTAGCATACTGCCAAATGAGTTAAAATGTGCTTTAAGGACAACTGAGTGAATGTTTTGGAGTGGCCATCACAAAGCCCTGATCTCAATCCTATAGAAAATGTGTGGCCAGAGTTGAAAAAGCTTGTGCGAGCAAGACAGCCTACAAATCTGACTCAGCTACACCAATTCTGTCTGGAGGAATGGGCCAAAATTCCTGCAAACTATTGTGTGAAGCTTGTGGAAGAAAACCCAAAACATTTGACCAAAGTATACAGTTTTAAAGCAAAGCTAAAAAAAAAAAAATACCAAGGAAATGTGTTTAAACTTTTGACTGTCTAGAAATAAAAAAAAAAAATCTAAAAAAAAAAATCTTATTAATCTGGTATTTAGCAAATGTAAATCATTTAGGTAATCCTAACGGACCTAAAATAGTAAACATTTAGTATGATTTAACACCAGACATTAAAAAAAATGGCTATGTTCCTTTTTTCAGAGTGTATGTAAAATTCTGGTTTCAACTGTATTTGGACATTGACACAATTCTAACATTTTTAGCTCTATACACCAGCACAACCGATTTGAAATAAAACCAACAAGATGTGTTTTAACTGCAGAGTGTCAGCTTTAATTTGAGCGTATTAACATCCAAATCAAGTGACCGCTGTAGGAAGAGTTTGCATATGCGCCTCCCACTTGTTAAGGGACCAAAAGTAATCAGACATTTGGCTTCTAAACTGTTCCATGGTCGGGTGTGTGTTATTTCCTCATTATCCCAATTACAATGAGCAGATAAAAGGTCCAGAGTTTTTGGGTGAACTGTGCCTTTAATGTTGAACTGCCATGTTTTAAGCAATGTTTTTGCTGTGCGCTTTAGGGGCTAATCTGAAAGGAGTGGACATGGAGGGCAGTCAGATGACTGGGATAAATTTGCGTGTGGCTACGCTGAAGAATGCTAAGCTAAAGAACTGTAACCTGCGTGGTGCTACATTAGCCGGCACAGATCTAGAGGTGAGACGGCAGTGTTGATTGAATGTTTGAAAATGTTTAGAGATTTTTCAAAGGAAGAAGAAAAATATGAACAATTAAAGTCAGAATTATGAGCCCTGCATATTTTTTCACCAATTTCTGTTTAACGATAAGATTTTTTAAAACACATTCCTAAACATGATAGTTTTAATAACTCATTTCTAATTACTGATTTCTTTTATCTTTGCCATGATGATTGTAAATAATATTTGACTAGTTGTTTTTCAAGACACTAGCATCCTGCTTAAAATTACTCTTGATTATTTGATTGTGTGTTCAGAACTGCGATCTCTCAGGCTGTGATCTACAGGAAGCCAATCTGCGTGGTTCAAATGTGAAAGGAGCCATCTTTGAGGAGATGCTGACTCCGCTGCACATGTCTCAAAGCGTGAGATAACCACTTACTCTGCTCACCGCCCGGTAAAAGCCACCAGCCAGCTCCTCACAGCACTCTCTTACCCACAATCCTTTTCACGCTCCTGTGAAAACTTATGCAATACTAGCACTTGTTTTGCCAGCCCTCTTTGAGCTTTACTCACTGCAAAAAAAAAAAACTAAAAGAAATTCTACTTGCTTAGGATTTTTGTCCAGTTTTCGGGCCAGATATCTAAAAATTCTTCAGTCAAGAAGCACTTTCTACACAAATTCAAAATATTGTTTTGTTTTCAGAATCAGTAAGTCAGAATTATCTGAGTTTTTTTTTGTTAAAACTAGCTAAATAATCTTCCATTAGGGTAAATAAAATGTTCTTATTTCAAACTGAAACCAAAATTGTTTTGCTTATGCCATTGGCAGTTTATTTTGCTTGATTTAAGGTAAAACATTTGTTATAGTTACTAGTTACTTCTCATAAAAAGTAAGTAAAAAAAGTTAGTAACTGGATTACATCATTATAAAACTAACTAATTACCAGCGAAAGTAACTATTGCGTTAATTTTTAAAAATGTCCAAAAAGTGACCGCTGTATGTTTAATAAATTGGACACTAAAATAAATAAATTATTATAAATAAAACATTGTACACCATTCTATTCTATTTTATTATAATATTATTACCCAACACACAATCTCCAATCATTATCAGTTATGTGGTTGTCCCACCCCTACACGCAGTCCCCGATCATCACCAGTTATCTGGTTATCCCGCCCCTACACACACACCCTAATATTCATCAGTTATGTGGTTGTCCCGTCTCTACACACACTCCCCAATCATCATCAGTTATGTGGTTGTCCCACTCTTACACACACTGCCAAACAAGCATCAGTTATTTGGTTGTCCCGCTCCTACACACACTCCCCAATCATCATCAGCTATGTTGTTGTTCCGCCCCTACACACAATGCCTGATCATCATCAGTTATGTGGTTGTCCCACTCCTACACACACTACCCAATCATCATCATCAGTTATGTGGTTGTCCCGCCCCTATACACAATCTCCAATCATCATTGGTTTTTGGTTGACCCACCCCTACACACACTCACCAATCATCATCAGCTATGTGGTTGTCCCACCACTACACACAATCCCCAAACATAATCAGTTATGTGGTTGTCCCACTCTTACACACACTCACCAATCATCATCGGTTATATGGTTGTCCTAGCCTTAAACACACACTCTACAATCATTATCAGTTATGTGGTTGTCCCACCCTTACACACACTCACCAATCATCATCAGTTATGTGGTTGTCCCACCACTAGGCACAATCCCCAATCATCATGAGTTATGTGGTTGTCCAACCTCTGTGGATGAAAACCTTGTCAGTGAGCCCAATTGTAAATGAAATATCAATTATATAACACAGCATATAATGGTTAGTGATGGTAATAGCGTTGTAACAACGGAAACTGTAATTTATTTGATTACTCGTTACTGAAAGAAGCAATTCCGTTAGTAACATTGTTTATTTATAAAACCATTATTCCCATCACAAATAATTTCTGAAAACAAAAACTTGTCTAGAAAATGCATCTTAATTTAAGAATGTTTAGATATTTGAACTAGAAACAAGAGAAAAACCTTAAGTAAGTAAAGCAATTTTTGCAGTGCTCTCATGCACTAGTGCACATCCAGGGTCTGTAATTGTGGCCAAAACAGCGAAAGCTTGATGTAGAAATTCCAAATATGTAAAAAAAAAAAACTCTTTTATTTATGCTTTGAGTTGAACAATTGTTCACTTTTACCGAATGTACACATTTCAGGTTGTGTTTTGTCTTAAAAAATGAAGTCAACATTTCTGTCAATCAATGCAACCAAATATATCTGTAGAATTTTAGAGCTGACGATGAATTTTAGGCAAGTTTTGATAAGGCTTAATGTTGCACAGCTTACTCCAGGCAAAGTAAACTCATAGTAGCTTTAAGTAATAATGGAAAATATCTTAAACATCTCGTGAAACTGACGGTTCTAGTTTCAGATATGCAATGTACATTTAATACACAGTTGAAGGCTAAATTATTTGCCCTGTGTGTGTTAAATTTTTTTTTATATATTTTTTTTATATTTTCCAAGTGCTGTTAACAGAGAAAACATATTTTGAAACAGGATAGTTTTGATAACTAATTTCTAATAATAATAAATTTATTATAAATAAAAATTATTTATAAAATTATTAATAATAAAATTATTATAAAGATACTATTATTCTGCTTAAAGTAACATTTAGACAATCAAAAAATATATACAATAATTTTAAGGGGCTAATAAGATTTTTAAAATATTTTTTTTTATATTAAAACTATTATTTCAGGCAAACTAAAAGAAATAGGAATTTCTGCTGAAGATATAATATTATATAAAATACTGTGACAATTTGAATTGCTCTGTTAAACATCACTTGGGAAATATTAAAAAATTATGAAAACAGGAGGGCTCATATCTTTGCTTTTAACTGTATAAGTCTCAGATATTCCGTTTTCATATTTTGTATGTCTAAAAATGTTTTGCTTTCCAGTTTTCCATGTGTTGTTTGATCTACCTCCCATTCAACATAATCATGTTTAGGTTATTTTGACTTCAAAACACATTTTGCTGCGTTCTGTTCTAATTCTATGTAATAACACTTATAGCCATAGGTTAATATGCACATTGATTAACCAGTGGTGCCAGTATGCTGGTTTATATCATCACTATATTATACATGTAAATATGACACTTCAGATTTCTGATTTTCCCTATTATTTGTTTTATTGTGGAGGTGAATTGCTGAAATGACCAACCCACACCAAATATTTTCATGTGATGATTCTTGTGTCATAATGTCAAATCTAGTTCTTCCTGATATTTATGGTATGTTTGTTTATCAATCCTGTCTGGTTTGTTTTTTGTTGAAGCACTAAATTAGAGCATCACTTTGTGCACTGTAAAACGCAATTATTTACTTTATTTTAAAATAGCGACAAGTAGACTTTACTTAGAAAAATTGAACAAACCTGTTGTATTTTAGAGCATTTAAAGTGGACCTATTATGCAAAAATCACTTTTATATGAAGTTTAAACACAGTTCTGTGGTAAGAGTGTGAATATAGCCAGCTTCTAATGGTAAAAAAATATAAATTTTATTTTTTATAATTACACTTGAGAAAAACAATCTGCAGACACACTTTAACTGGCATTCTCCCTTATTGTACGTGTCATCAGAGGGGGAAAGCCCCCACGCATTAGTGACCATCTCTCCCTTATTAGCAGAGCATTAGTCTTGTTTTTGAATCTGCCACTATGCTGACACAGGCATTTGTAGCTCAGCCCTCTTTTGAAAAGAGCACAATCTCATTTGAATTTAAAGCGACAGTCACCAAAATGCCACTATTAGTATCAAAGCCTAAAAGGGGCAGTTTCAAAGAGTTACAAAACATGATCTGTGGGGTATAATGAGCTGAAATTTCACATACACTATACAGTGTTGCCAACTTTGTGACTTTGTCTGACCCTCTTATTGACACATTTTCAAAAAATTGACTAGCAACAAATCTTGTGACTTTTTTTTTTTTTTTTGGTGTTACTGAAGATTTTTATAGACACTCATATGGTCCACACTGTACCGTTGTACCGAGCTGTGGATGATGCCGTCGGCTTTTCTATGGAACAAGATCAGTCTAAAAAATAATACATTCACAATTCACATTTACAAAATTTTATTCGTAAATTCAACAACACAATTCATAAATGCGCAAATCCAATTCGTCAGTTGAAGACACAATTCGCAAATGCGCAAATCCAATTCGTAAATTCAAGACACAATTTATAAATGCGCAAATCCAATTCGTCAATTGAAGACACAATTCGGAAATGCGCAAATCTAATTCGTAAATTCAAGACTCAATTTATAAATGCACAAATCTAATTTGTAAATTCAAGACGCAGTTTTTAAATGCGCAAAGCCAATTCATAAATTGAAGATGCAATTCGTTAATGGACAAAACTTATTTGTAAATTCAAGCCGCAATTTATAAATACGCAAATCCAATTCGTTAAATAAAACATAATTCAGAAATACGCAAAAAAAATTCATAAATTAAAAACGCAATTCATAAATACACAAATCCAATTCAGAAATTAAAAAATACAATTCATAAATGTGCAAATCCAATTCGTAAATTGATGTATGACATAATCTTGTGATATTTAATCACTTTTCGGGCAGAGCTTAGCACCTTTTAATTTAAAATAGTTGGCAATACTTACACTATAGGAACATTGGAGACTTATTTTAGATCTTGTAAAAAGAGGCTTAATAGGTCCCCTTTAAGTTGACTCAACTTAAATTTTATGATACTTAATCATTTTAGGGCAACATGTTCACTCACAATTTTTAAAAGTAAAGTAAACTAATCAATTTTGACAGTGTGCATTTACATCCTTAAGTTTTGTGATGATAAATCTCAAAGAAAGTAGCAGATAAAATACAGCTTAGGTTTTAGTGCTGCTCCGATATTGCATTAATATATCAGCTGACCTGGATTATTTGCTGCGTGGTTTAAAGAAAATGAAAGCCATCTCGAGTTTGTTTTGTTCGTTTGTTTGTTATTATACGATATGCTGTTGTTGTGTTCTTTCATTTACATATGTTATTGTAGGTACTCTGTCAATCCTGTTCAATGAAGGCAATCAAAATAGACTTTTGCACTTTAAGTGTGATTCTCTATGTATATCGGACCCTTGTTTAAGGGGCGCGAGCTATTTATTTATGTATCAGGCTGTATTTATGTAAATGGTGGAGGGACGATCTACTCGTTCTCTCTTCGCCAAACTCTGTTGCACTCTATTACGGATGTGTTTCCATAAATAGACTGTTAGAATCAAGGTTGTTGTCTGTTTTTTTTTATACTCTGTGTATGTGTGTGTGTATGTATATATATATATATATATATGTGTGTGTGTGTGTGTGTGTGTGTGTGTGTGTGTGTGTGTGTGTGTGTGTGTGTGTATATATATATATAAGATGCAGACAGAGATGGCTTAAGGCTTCTTTTTTTTTAAGCGTTCATCTCAAACTACAGCTGAACAAATCATTACAGAACAGGTAAGTGACATTCTAAGTCGATCTCTCTTTTATACTTTGTATTGCTGTATTTATACCAAAGTAATCAGGGAGTGCTTGCTTTGCTTGTTCCATTTTTGGGGTTAATTATTGCGATCTCCCGATTGCAACAGAGAAATACCGGGAAATCTCTGTAGACTGATTGCATTTCATGTTGTTCAGCCGTATAATCTTAAAATGTGAGCAAAATCACCTGTTTTGTCATCACTTTAGACATTACGCTAGAGAATCATTCAAGCGCTAGCTCTAAAGTGATGTAAGTCAAAGAGTAACGCTTTCTGCTGTTCTGACGTCAGCTGCAGATGTGAATGAATGGCATAAGAAAGTACTTCCTCTTACAAAAGGGTTTTCAAGACTCTCTGGGTTTGTTTGTTTTTTTATATTCACTGTTATGCCGTTGAACTGTTGTATAAACGCAATATTATTATATTGTAGCAGTGCGATATGGCTGTATATGGTCACTGGTGGGACACTAAGGCACTCGGCCTGCTGCCTCGAGCCAATGCACACCTCCCACCAGTGCCAATATGCAGCCATATTGCACTGCTACGGGTGTGATATTGCTTATTTATTCATATATATATATATATATATATATATATATATATATATATATATATATATATATATATATATATATGATTATAGTCTTGCTTATATTTTATGTAAAGGGACCATATGGATGCTGGAAATCCTTGATAACGCATGAATTTTTAAGGTTTGAAAAGAGCTTAAATTTTGAATAAAGTGCTTGGAAATTTTATTGTTTTCCTTTCATAATTGCTTCTAAATATTTAGTAATATTTAATAATAAATTTGTAATAATTATTCACTATTTATAATTATATATTATAACAAGTACAGCTGAAGTGCCTTAAATACACCTGGAAAGTGCTTGAAAAGTGCTTAAATTTTACTTTGGAAGAGGTGTATTCTACATTAGTGTTGAAAAAAGTGTTTTATTTACATTTATAAAGGCTTCGTAATACCGTATTACTATATTGATCACCTGCTTGTTTGCTTTTTATATATATATATATATATATATATATATATATATATATATATATATATAATGGTGGATGTTTCATTGTATATGCAAATGCTTTCTGTTTTTAAATTGAAATCTTTGCTGTCATCAACAATTTAAATAAAGGTAATGTTCAAAACAGTAATAAAACAAATAAATAATCTTTACTAAATTTAGATGTAAACTATGTATTCTAAAAAAACCTAATTTTTAAGAAGTATTTCATATTTTAAAAACTAAACTTGTTCTGAAGTGACTGATTTAGATATTAAGATAAATAAAATTAGTTTAGGATTTGCACTGTATCTGAATACGTTTTTGCAGATATCGAATGAAACTGGTAGGTACTGCAGTAGACAACGTGATCCTCTTTCATTTACGAGCCTTGTGAATCTTTCAGACATGATGAGTCCTCTGAAACAGTAGTGCACACAAGTCAAGTTCAGTTTTATTGTCACTTCACATGTATGGATATATAGAGGAACGAAGTGTTGTGTCTCACAGGACCACGGTGCTACATAAATAAACATAATCATAATATGAACACAACACTGGACAACATCCTGGAGCAGTAATCTAACGACATACAGTATTATTTTCTCCAGCACTTTTCACATGACCTGAGCCCTGGAGGTAAGTGAGCTGCTATTATGTGGAAGTGTATGAAGTGCTTTAGCAGGCATGAATGTTTGAAATGAGACCAGAGAAACCAGCTCTACATAATGCAAACTCACGCAAGGATCTTATTTATGTTCTTTGGTAATCTGCATGCCAATAATACAGTCAACAAGATCATAACAACAACAACATTAACCCCAGAACATTCCTTTCTAATCTTGTTGGGTACGGTTCGTTTTATTTGGTGTGTGTGTGTGTGTGTACACACAAACATTTCCCAAATCCTGTTTAACAGAGCTAGAACATTTTTACAGTATTTTGAAAGTAATTTCTTTCAGTTTGGCTGAAATAAAAGCAGTTTTTAGATTTTTACTATTATTTTAGGGTCACTATAATTAGCCCCTAAAGAACAGGCTGTTGCTTGGCGTAAATAACCTTTTTAGGCTTTAAAATTGCGAAAATCTTGCAAAATACCTAGAAAATATTATGTACTGTCATCATGGCAGGGACAAAAGAACTTAGTTATTAAAAGTATTATGTTTATAATGTGTTAAAAAATCTCTACGTTAAATAGAATTTGGGAAATGTTTTAAAAGGGTTAAATTTCACAGGATAATAATTTTGACTCCAACTGTATCTACAGTCTGTCATTTACGCCGGACTTTTATTTTGAAAGTTCGTCAGTTTGTTTTCACACAGCGCGCATCTCTTCACTAACCGCTCAGCCTCATTCATGAACTCGTTTACAAAGGTATGTACAATATCTAGACAGAGTAACAATTAGTTTGTTGACTGTACACATTAGTTAAAGAACATTCAAACATATCGATTGTTCTTCACACTAAAATATGCCTCGTTTACTTGCTTTAAACCTAAATGTAAACAGCAGCTGAACTGTCACGTGTCAAAACAAATGCTGTGAGGCGAATCCTTAATGCTTCAGTAGTTTATACAGAGTAAAACCACGTTTATTTAACAAACAATCACACATATATACATTCAGGTTTACATAAAACTTTTGTTTTATGTGGCGTTTAGGATGAATCCCCATGGAGGTCAGTGCACCTGCAGTGGTCATCTCCCAACACCGAGCGTCCATCAGACTCTGGAGGAGATGGACTTTGAGAGAGGTGCTACATATATTTTAAACACACACATTCTCACCGGCCACTTTATTAGTTACACCTTAATTGTGCCGGGTTGACCCCCTTTTGTCTTCAGAACCGCCTTAATCCTTCGTGGCATTGATTCAACTAGGTAACTAGTGGAAATATTCCTCAGAGATCTTGCTCCATAACTGAAGGACAAGATCTTGGATACAGTGGCAGTGCTAGCTTGAATGGCACCCTGGCTGAACCACCCCATATTCATCAATAAATGAGTGAATGATTGAACGAATGAATGAAGTCAAGAGTTACATATCATGACGATGTTATTACTATCAAATATGAACTGTTCGTTTGCAGGCATTTGGTCAGCAGCAATGGATGGAGATGTGGAGAGAGTCCGGATGCTTATTAAAAAAGGGACTGATCCAAATATGAGGGACCAGGCAAACTACACAGCTTTGGTTTGCTTGTTTTATTGTTCACCACCAATGCATACATTAATTACACTTACTGTAATTAAATTTAAAGTAAAAAAGTAAACTTTTGTTACAGTTACTTGTGTAATGTACTTGATTAATAGCTGTGTATAAATTCAACAGTTCTACATAAATTAATTCCGAGAAGCTGACTGATATAATATACCTTTTTCAACTAAAGAACATTTTCCATTTATCAAAGACAATTGCATAAGCTTAAGGGAAAAAAAATATTTATTGTGACAATATATATATATATATATATATACACACACACACTAATGAATGTATGTATATATATATATATATATATATATATATATATATATATATATATATATATACAGTAATCTTACAAAATAACTGATGATAACGGTCCAAAATAGTACATCCAAATTTAAAGTTTTAAACCATATAAAGTTTATAAATTAAAATTTTCAATTAAAAAGAGAAAAACTCAAGAGAAACAAAAAAGAATAAATTAAGTTAAGATTTTGTAGTTTTGTAAGATATTAAATATTTTGCGTATATTTCAATATTTTGTATTATCTTTCCATTTCTGAAGATGTTTGGTGACTAAAATATTATTTTATATATAAATATATCTGTTTAATAAATCTGTCAAATGCACCAACATATATGACCTATATTTACTGAGAAATGGAGAAAAGTATTCATTTTCAAAATGAATTTATGTTTAACACTGTATGTATATATATATACACACACACACAGTTAAAGTCAGAATTATTAGCCCCTGTTTGATTTTTTTTTCTTTTTTTAATATTTCCCAAATGATGTTTGACAGAGCAAGGAAAAGTTATGTCTGATAATATTTTTTCTTCTAGAAAAAGTCTTATTTGTTTTATTTTGGCTTGAATAAAAGCAGTTTTGAATTTTTTAAAAACTATTTTTGGGACAAAATTACTAGCCCCTTTAAGCTAATTTTTTTTCCGATAGTCTGCAGAACAAACCATCGTTATACAATAACTTGCCTAATTACCCAAACCAGCCTAGTTACCTTAATTAACCTAGTTAAGCCTTTAAATGTCACTTTAAGCTGTATAGAAGTGTCTTGAAAAATATCAAGTAAAATATTATTTACTGTCATCATGGCAAAGATAAAATAAATTGGTTATTAGAAATAGGTTTTTAAAACTATTATGTTTATAAATGTGCTGAAACAATCTTCCCTCCATTAAACAGAAATTGGGGAAAAAAATAAACAGGGGCGCTAATAATTCAGGGGGGCTAATAATTCTGACTTCAACTGTATATATATTTTTATTTTTTTACTTTATTAATTACTTTTTTTTTTTTGAAGTAACCCAACACTGTCCAGCTGACAGCTCTTGTTTTTCTCCAGCATTATGCAAGTCGAGCAGGTCATGTGTCAGTGTGTGAGCTGCTGCTGGACTGTGGGGCCTGTGTGAACGCTCAGACTCATGGCGGGGCGACGCCGCTTCACAGAGCGGCTTACTGCGGACACCAGCGGGTGCTGAAGCTGCTGTTAGAGCGAGGAGCGGATCCAGGCCTGACTGATGACGATGGAGCTACACCACTGCATAAGGTAACCCTGGTCAATTTACAGGCTTCCCATGGATCAAAGAGTTTGCCATTGTTCTCTCTATTAGCTGCCGTTATTAATCTCACTTTATTTTCCTTTTTCTGAAAGAGTTGATAACATCATGGTGGAGTTTTTCTTTTATTATTTCTGCAAATGGGATTGTAAAAAAAATATTTGTTGTACTTATTCAGTCAAGTTTACCCAAATATGATGACCTCTGCTACTGAAAAACCCGGAAATGTGAAAAGGGTCCATATTCCAGATTGTTTGATTGTCCAAGTTATTGCAATAAATAAATAAATGATCACGCCATGTGATCGGTAATCATGACTTCCGCAACTTTGAGCTCCGAAGTGGCCAGCTTGACGGCTCTGTTTTAAACTCCGCCCCCGCCTGTGCTCGGCTAATCTCATTGATCACCAGCTACAGCTGTGCTTCATGTCGAACGCACCTTTAGAATTGTGTAAACGAGACCCTGAGAGTCTATTATAGACTCTATATAGAGTTTAGCTATTAGGGATACTAAAATCGCTAGAATATTATGTAAAGATAATCTTTTAAGTAGACTTTTTTTCTATAAATATATCATCATTTGTACAAAATAGGGTCCCACTTTATATTAAGTGTCACTTATACCTGTGAACTTAAATGGTAACTAGATGTGTAAGTAGTATGTAACTACAGTGTATGTACATACTGGTACATAGTATTTACTTGTGTAACACTAGTGTAACTACACACATGTAACAACCCACTAAACAGTATGTGTAAGTTTAAATGTGTAAAGCCTAGTTCACACTACAGGATTTTAAACCTCAGCAGATCGCTGTGCCGTTCACACTACATGACTTGACTTTGTGTCTTTTAATCTCTGTGGTGTTCACACTACGCAACACTCTGTGAATGATCCACAAGAGGGGGGTCACACACTACATGATCTGACAACATCTCATTCCCCAACAGCTCATTCAAACCACAGCCAATGAAATGTTGAGGGAGGAGTCGTCAGAAAAAGCTGAACACTATTGGCTGCTTGTGTGCTGATGACATCACTGACAGCGTTTCAAGCTTTGGAGAAAGCATTTAAAAACATCGTCAAATCAGCTGATTCATCAGCGCATTAATCACTCATCTGCAGGTTCCAGTGGATAGTCACAGAGAGTTTTTAATTTTTGTAATTTTATAACTCTTTGAAATAAAACTAACCGTACGTTCACACCGAAAGCGGCGAGAGCGTCAAAGTAGCCGGAAGTCATTCATTTTCAATGAGAGCCGGCGGCGATAGGCGACGATAAGCGGCGAGGAGCAGCGCGGCGCGTCTTCGCCGGCGTGAGCGTCGAGGAGAGTTGAAATGAAGTCAACTTTATGGTAATGAGCTATGACGCGGTTCAGCGGCAAGCAATCAGAATGAAGACGTCCACCGCTTGATAGCAGTTCAGAGAACACAGACCTGTGAACTTTGGTTCCGACCACAGTTGTTCCCAAGGGTTTGATTATTGCGGTCGCCGGATATCCAATTATTTACAATGTTTTCTTACAGGAACATACATTAAATAAGTTACTGGCGAGTTACTGATGTTCATTAATGTTATATAAATTTATCTTTAAAAAGCGGGAATCTCACGCGATGCGACAGTACAAAACAGTACTGCTGCTTCAGGATATTTCAGACATATGGACACATATTGGATAAATAGAGCAAAGCCACACCACATGCAACTTGATCTTCCATTGTTTTATGAATTTGATAAGAAGTGTGCAACATTTTCACGCTAAAAACAAGTTTTATGCAGGAATGTAACTGATAATGCTGCAACGGCTCCTTTAAGTACGAGATCAATGTAGCGAGTTTTGACGCTCTCGCCGCCGGAGCTTAAGGCAGACAGCGTTGTTGCCAGGGCGGCCAGAGCGACCTTGGACGCTCTCGCCGCTTTCGGTGTGAACGTACGGTAACAAATAACACCCTGCCGTTTTCTAACTATCAGTGTATTTCTTTCTGACATTGTTATTTTTTTTTATTACAAAACAGTAAAGAACTGGGCATTTCTGCCTTAAATTATCATATTGGTTAAAATGACTGCATGCATGTCTGATACTTTTCACTGTGACTTTAAATATGTGTGCATTTTCTTGCCTAGCAACTTCCTGCTAACATAAACAAAACTTTCTGATGGCAAAAACATCAATTTACATCAGATATCTTTCAAAACAGCATATTCTGTGCTGAATAGCTCCTGTTTGAAAGTGAAAATGAAAGCCAAGACCTTTAAGTGTTTTAGTATCTTAACTACATATTTATAGGCTGTATCACCAAAAAAAGATTATATTTTTAGGGTAATGGTGTCATTAAATATGATGCCAGACATTCAAAGCTTGATTTTAATATCTCAATAATAGCTTTGAATGTAAACATGTTGTGACAGTATGGCGTTTATATGAGAACGGTCAGAATGAGCAGTATGGTAATTCTAATAGTTACACAATTCTTGCTCCACTGTTAATATAGCCTACTCTCATGTCTGTGCTAATACAGAATGAAGCGAGTGCACCGATGCCCATTCTGACCAATCACAGATGTTTCTGTTGAGCTCCTGAACACACAGGCATTCAGCTCATGCTGATATGCTCTCTCATTGGCTGCAGCTCGTCACTACATCTGACCACACGTGGGGTTGAGTCGGCCGACTGCTCTGGAATATTTAGCATGCTGAATGTTGGATTTCCGTCTGCGAGGTGTCGGCGACGCGTCAGCGAGCCTCGTTGATGCGTTGTTCAGTAGTTCACACATAAAGACTGGCGAGCGCCGTGCACCCGCAGATTTCTTCCCGATCACAGCCTGATCTGTCGGCGAGCTCGTTAACTTCCAAATCGGGCTCAAATCAGGCTTAAAATCCTCTAGTGTGAACTAGGCATAACAGGACATTAATAACAATCTTTGCTAAAGTACCCCTTTAATGTGAACTACTGATGTGTTGTTACATGTGTGCAGTTACACCAGTATTACACAAGTAAATGCTATGTACCAGTATGTAAATACACTGTAGCTACATACTACTTACACATCTAGTTACCATGTAAGTTCGTAGGTATAAGCCATAATATAAAGTGGGACCCAAAATTTTGGTGATATTTAGATTTTTTTTTTAACCAACCAACAAAAATAATTCCCATGAACAAAATCAAGTCCTGCTCTGTTTTGTTTGTGTGTGTGTGTGTGTGGGTTTGTGTGTCAGGGAAGCTATTTTATTCAGACATATTTTACTACAGGGAAGAAAGACTACTCATTCATACTGACTTTAATACAGTATTTGATCGAATATTTGTGACTGTATGTGCACACAGGCTGCTGAGCAGAGGTGTTTTGTGGTTTGTAAACTGTTGGTGAAGCGCTTTCCAGCTTTGCGGGATATAAAGGATAAAAGATCACGGATACCTTTCGATCTCTGTCCAGAGGACGACAGCAAATGGGAGTTCCTGAAGCCAGCACAATGACCGGATCTGTTACAGTTTGTAAGGCCTTTTCATGAAGCAATATGAAGACTTTTTTTAAGAGCTGTGCCTTATTATTCAGTGTGTCATATGCATGGAGCAATGGATCATCCCTGATGGTCACTTTTGTGAGCCTACACGAGTGAATCCAGTGCCAGCAAGTATGACCAGATCAGGAAATAAAAGACTGGGATACTAAGGAATGCTAATTCTTCATGCATAATGGTGTTGGGTGGAGACTTTTATTTTGAAGCTTTGGAAAAGCATGTGAATTTGCCACCAGACTAATCCATATGCCGACAGGGGGGAAATGAAGCAAACTGATTTGCTTTCATTCATTTTCCTTCGGATTAGTCTATTTTAGAGGTCACTACAGCAGAATGAACCGGCAATCCGATCTGTCTGTTTACATCAGGGGTCACTAATCTCGGTCCTGGAGGGCCGGTGTCGCTGCAGGGTTTAGCTCTGACTTGCCTTATCACACCTGCCTGGGTGTTTCAAGTATATCTAGTAAGACCCTTAGCTGCGTACCAAATCGCATACTTATGCACTATTCTACGCCATTTTGTAGTATAAATAGTGTCAGCAGTGCATTTACACTGAAAACTCTAAAAATAATAAGTGCACTTTAATTACCCGGATGATGCACTCATTCAGCCGGTAAAATGAAGTGTGTAATGATGGACACTTCACACACTCAACGACCGCAGCTTTGCTTACGTAGCGGAAGGGGCGGAGCTATCGGACGCACATGTTGGATAACTTTATTTATTTTGGATGGTGAAAGCAAAATTCTTCTACGAGAGTGATTATAGCGCCTCCCGATGGTGAATGCGGCAATACTCAGGGCAGGTATTATTTGATAATTCGGCCGTTTACTTCAATGATTTGGCGACCGTCAAACGTCATCAGGGAAACGGTTTGAATTTCCGCTTAGTAAAAAACATTAGTGTGCCATTTGGGACGACACTACATACATATACTACCCTGTTGAGTGTGTAAGTGCATAAGTACATAGTGCATAGTGTATAGTGTGCCATTTGGGACGCAGCTTTAGTGTGCCATTTGGAACGACACTACATACATATACTATCCTGTTGAGTGTGTAAGTGCATGAGTGCATAGTGTATAGTGTGCCATTTGGGATGCAGCTCTTGATTAGCTTGTACAGGTGTGTTTGATTAAGGTTGGAGCTAAAATCTGCAGGACACCGGCCCTCCAGGACCGAGTTGGGTGACCCTTGGTTTTCATGATAGTCGCATTGTCGCATATCACATATATATTTATATCTGATTTATTTCCATATATGAAGAAGGCCTGAAACCGATCTCTAAATATCCAAATGCATGCGCTTTTTTTTGTGTTCACATAGTCATTGAACAGATACGATCTATACCAGGGGTGGCCAGTCCTGTTCCTGGAGATCTACCTTCCTGCAGATTTTAGTTGCAACCCTTATCAAACACACCTGTCTGTAATGGGGTATATGCCGAAGCATGCTAATAGGACTTTTAATTTGCCAGTAACCTGGGTCAAGCGCTTCCGGCGAATTGAATGCCAATGCAAAATCCGGTGCATTCAAGGTCAGCTTTCTTTAAAAATCAGCGATCTCCATTAGCTGAGTGATATCCGATTTAGGGTGGGTTTCAGATTGTACAAGAAGCCCTGCATTAAATTACATTTTCCCCCGCCATATCTTTATAATATGAGCATATATTTTACCCTAGTATATTCAATGGAGCTTCTACGTTAGCCTGCTGATTCTGACGGGCGCGTGCGAGTCAACAGCTTTTTGTCTCGTTTTACGCTTGAGCAACTAAATGAATGCTAAAGTTTATTTAACTGATTGTATTTTAATGACATTAAAACATCGATGCTGTATAAGGAACCGTATAAAATGGTAAAAAGTTCACAATAACAGGTCACCGGAAGTGTATCAGCATGGGAACTGCACTAGCTCGGCATATACCCTATTATCACGTGGATTTCAGGTCCTAATTGATTGGTTCAGGTGGGTTTGATCAGGGTAGGAGCTAAACTGTTCAGGAAGGTAGATCTCCAGGAACAGGTTTGAGCACCCCTGATCTACGCAATCAAAAAAACTGGCAATTGGGTCACATTTAACTGGCAGTGTAAACAGGGCCGTTGAGTTAAAAACAAATAACAGATGAGATTTTGGTTTTGGTGCCAGTAGAATGAACAGAAAAACTCAATATTTACATTTTGTCTAACGTTTCTCATTCTGGATCAAATTAAATTATCGAATGAGACACGAACGACCTGTAACTGTTGACTTCCGTAGTGTTTGTTTGTTCCAACTATGAAAGTCAATGGCTTTCAGCTGTCTTCAGAATATCTTCTTCTGTGTTTGACAGAATAAAGAAAGCCTTAAAAGATGGTATCAAGGGTATCTGCAGGGTCCTACAATGTCTTAAATCAAAAAAGCAAAATTTTTATAATAATAATATCTTTTATTTATAGGCGCCTTTCAGAGCACTCAAGGACACCTTACAGTGTGTCACAGACACATTATAAAAGCAAGACAGACGAGTAATAAAACATAGTATTAATCCAGAAAGTCATTAAAAGCAATCCTGAACAGAAAGGTTGTAACCTGGGATTTAACATTGGACATAAAGTCCACCTGACGGATATCTAAGGGCAGGGAAACCCATAACTGTGGTGCTCTGCAGCTAAAAGCCCTGCCACCAAATGACTTCATCTTGGAACTGACAACAGTTCAGCCGCAGAAGATCTCAGTGAGCGCCGAGGAGTGTACCAGTGAAGAAGATCAGAGAGATAATCGGGCGCCAGGTTGTGAAGAGCTTTGTAAGCTAATAAAATAATTTCATATTGTACAGGATAAACAGCAGGATGCCAATGCAAGTGAAAGAGAATTGGAGTTATGTGTTCAGAAGCAGGTGAGCGGGTCACTACCCTAGCTGCTGTGTTCTGGAATAACTGTAATCTGTGAAGTTGGTTAAGAGGGATACCAGATAGGAGGGAATTGCAATAATCAATTCTTGATGTAACCAGAGCATGTTCAAGCACTTCAGTATTTTGTTGGGATAGTGAAGGGCGTGGTCTTGCAATGTTACGTAAGTGAAAAAAGGCAGATCGTCAAATATTACTAATATGTAAATTAAACAGAAGCATACCATCTAATATAACCCCAAGACTTTTAACATGAGTTGTAAAATTTACTGGAGAATTATTGATCAAATTTTAGGCCTTGAAAAGTCTTAAATCTACTGAAATGTTGTGCTGTAGATCTTAAAGAATTTTTAACGGGTCTTCATTTTCCTTTGTTTATGTACAGCTACCCAATCTGTCCATTAACACCCATACAATCACCAACAATCCATCTCAATAAAACTGCTAACATTTTTAGTTAAAAATAGCATTTAACTTCTTTCCTTACAGTGACACTTGCTCAAAAGTTCTTCATTTATTTATTACTGAGGAAACTGACCTGACCTATACTTCTTTTATTATTAAATTATTATTGTTGTAGACTGACGTAATTGACAGTTTTGTTCTATTCTTGGTAAGAGTTATAGGCTTTGTGAATAGATATATTTGGAGATTAATTAAAAAAAATAAATCTTAAAAAATTATTGTATTATTAAATGTATAAATGTTTTATTTTTTGACAGGACAAATGAAAATCTCAAACTGGGACATTTCAATAAAAAAATTATATATATATATATACATATACATATATATATATATATATATATATATATATATATATATATATATATATATATATATATATATATATATATATATATATATATATAATTTTTTTTAGTTAAATTTGTATACATTTAGCCCTGTATAAGTCTAAAATTTAATTCATAACGGTCTTAAAAATGTCTTTAAAGTCTTAAATTTAACTTGGTGAAACCTGCTGAAACCCTGTTGAGGGAGAGTAAATAGTTGAGGTGAGTGTATGCAGACTTGGTGCCGTTGCAATGCTTAATGCCTACACCTCACAGTGACTTCACCAGCTCCTTTAAGTGCATTGTGTCTGACATTGCAAATCTGCGATATGCAGTCTCAACTTGCAAATCCAAGTCTGCATGCAGATACTAAAATAGTTAATATTAAAATAGTTGGTCAATTTTAAATTTTATTGGTGAACTTTACCTTTAAACCAGCATTGAGTTCATTGACAGCCATCAAATCGTTAAGTTTTCACTACAGAGAGCCTGTGATGTGGTTTTGTTTCCAGTAGAGGGCGATAAAGTCCTATTAATACAGCACTTTAGCAAGCAAACCCAGGATCACTCCTTCGGAAGAACTCAAGTTCATAAGCAGCTATTCATGGCACTGGCAATTTATGTTTGTTTGATTGATTGATTGATTGATTGATTGATTGATTGATTGATTGATTGATTGATTGATTGATTGATTGATTGATTGATTGATTGATTGATTGATTGATTGACTGACTGTAAAAAATGCTGAGTTCCACGCAGTCGATTTGTTAAGACAACATAAAGGAATTAAGTAAACTTGTTAGTGTTTACAAATTTAAGTGGATTGAACATAAAACTATTAAGTTGTCCCAAAAAAAAAATCAAAAATTGTGTTGTTTCAGCTCATTTTAAATAATCAGTTTGAATAAACAGCAAATATAATGTTTTAAGTGTACCAGTATTGTCATATATTACAGTCTAAAGTCTTTTTTTTTTAATATGTGTTACTTAATTACCTTTTAAGGAAAGTAATTATTTAAGGTAATTTTAAAGAGTAAGATGAGCTTAAAATTGTAATATATTCCTTTATTTTTACACTGCTACACTGAAAAAAGGTGATTAGTAACTTAAAGCGAGTATGATATATCATATTATACACATTACTATAGCGCGCAAACCCGGGATTACTGCTTCTGAAGAGCTCAAATTCATAAGCAGCCACTCATGGCGCCTTCGGGGGGCCTTCTAAAACAAAGATGAGGAATGAAGTTTAGGCTGGATATTTATATTAAATTTAATCCGATTGGCTAGTTAGTGATTAGTGATTGGGATCAGCTGCAGTCAATCCTGTCACATGCTCCTCTCGAAATTAGTTTGTGAAACTTCACTTAGTAAATCCAAAGAATCATCTTTGATTGTTTTGTTTCAGTGCAGCCACAGTACAGAACCTGCTGGCAGCCGAGAAGCGAAGCAGAGCTTGTTTTATGTGGTTGTGGTTGTTG